CTCTCTCTCTCTCTTTCTCTCTCTCTCTCTTTCTCATCGCCTCTTGATCGGATGCAGGCCGTCGGCAGGGCGTGTCCAAGGATGGTACGTCTGCTGGCGAAGAGACGCCCGAGTCTCGCACGGCGTCTGCGGGCGGCGGCGGTGGCGGCGGCGCGGGATTCGGCGCTACGGCTGAGAGCGGCGGTGGCGATGCCGAGGGAGCCGCCAGTCAAGGTGCCGGGACCGGTGCCGGCCCGAGGCCGTCGATGTAGGGCGATGGGCACCTGTGTAGCTACCGACAGCCAGGCAGGATGACTGGGCCGCAGCAACGTCGTGGGCCCTCTCTCCACGTTCCTGGCCCCACCCCACCCCGTCGACGCGTGGGTGTGAATCAATGGCCGAATGCACATGACACGATGCAAGCGAGCGTGTGCGACCGAGCCATGTCCGCTGCCGGTGGTTGACGAGGCCGGAGCGAGTGCGTGGTGCGACGTACAGTAGGTGGGTACGGGGTACTCGACTGGGCCGACGGTCGTTTGGGAGTGAAGCCAGCCAGCAGGTAGGTAAGCAGGCAAGCGAGCCAAGCCAAGCCATGCCATGCCGCTGAGCTGGGTGGGCAAGCTTTGGCGATCCAAGGCCGGGTCCGATGCGAAGGAAACGAAGCAGAGCAAGCAAGGCGTGGCAAGCTCACGGCTGGCAATGCGGAGATACGCTAGGCCTACGTACTGCCCTTGGAAGGCGTGACTGTATCGCAGCTCCGCCGTCGTCGTCAAGCACAAGCTCGCTCGCTATCTATGCTTTTTTGCGGGAAGGCGAGAGAAAGAGATCAGAGGCCAGAGGTTGAGGGATGAGGATTGCCATGTGGGACGTCGAAGGCTGGACCTGACAGCGAGAGAGGCGGGCGTACAGTACGTGGGGTATGACATGGGTTCGTCAACGGGGCACGCCGTCGCGGTACCTACGTCTGACTGTAGCCTGAGCGAGGAAGGGTACTGTAGGTCCGACCGAATAACCTCCGACTCGACTCCGCCTCCGTCTTGGGTGCATGCATGCATGTCGCCACAGTGCGTCTGGCATTGATCATCTTTTTCGTCCGAGCTGCCGGGCCCGCCTCTTGATCTGCCCCCTCGCTGTAGCGTGACGAGACGAGGCGGGCGAGCCGGGGGACCGGGGAAGCCGGGGGGGGGATCCTGAGTCGAGCCACATGGTGCGGTCCCCGTCCCGGTCGCGGCAGGATGCATGGCGGCCAAGCGAAGCGAGGTCGGTGGAAAAACCCAACGCACGCAACGAAACGCACCGAGATATGTCCGTCTTACACCACCACCACCACCACTCGCCACCGGCCCTTGGTTGGTTGGTTGTTTAGTTGGTCGGTCATCTTCCGATGGCCGGCTTGCTGCGACGACCGGTGACCCGCCTTAGCTTGCTGCCCTATGGTGGCAAAACCTTGACTCCTACTGTACCTGTACTGGCTCGCCGACGCGGGTGGGGCTCCGCGCTTCGGTCTTTCCACCTTGGCTCCGAGCTCGGACGTGGGCGGGACATCGAGTTGAACGAAATGAACCGCGAGTCTAGGGGGATGCCATGTCATGTACTACTCTGTAGTGGCAACGACGCGGCAAGATGAGCTGTTGCAACGCTTGCTTGCTTGCTTGCTTGCTTGCTTGCTTGCTTGCTTGCTTGCTTGCTTGCTTGCTTGCTTGCTTGCTTGCTTGCTTGCTTGCTTGCTTGCTTGCTTGCTTGCTTGCTTGCTTGCTTGCTTGCTTGGTACGCTGCGGCCACGCCCCGAGAGAAGCCGTGCCATTCATAAGCTCCCAAGACGACACGCTACGGGACACCAGGCGGAGCGGGGGCGGGGGCGGGGCGGGGCTGAAGAGTCGCAAAGCCCTGCCTGCCGGTGCGAGTAGTGCACTACTCTATGCCCAGGATCGACGCCGCAGCCTCACGGATCGTCCCGACGAGGGCGAGGCCGTGGGGGCGGCGTATACGCCGGTCGCAGGCTGGCCGCCCTGGCCCGCGTTTGGCCCCCGCCTCTGACCCCACCCGCGCTCCTCGGAACACATGGCGGGGCAGGCGGGCGGGCCAATAATAATGGATCAGAGTAAGAGTGACCGGGGATGCTGCTGATGCCCAACAGCGCAACCCAACGTACGCATGGCGTGGCATGGCATGGCATGCACGGCTCGACCGAAACAAGGCCGATGCCCTCGACGACGGCACACCAAAGCTACAGTACCGGCTACAGCAGCCTGCCCTCCCCACCCCCCGCACTCGATCCTCGTCCTGCCCAGCAAGTGCCTACTACTCTACTCGTCCTCGATCTTGTTCACGCTTACGGCTCTGCCGTCGACCACGACGACGCAATGGCCAGGCCAGACCAGGCTGGCCTACGCCAGGCCACGTCGGTCCGGCGTGGCCACCGACGTGCCGTCATATAAAACACGCCTTCCGTCACACCCTCGTCGTCGTCCATTCCTCTGCTGGCCGGACAATAGCACCTCGCCTGCTCCCCTCCCTCTCCGCCTCGTCCCCATCCTCGACCCCGACCTCGAGCTCCAGCTCGACCTTCCCTTTGCGGCCCCATCCGACCACAGGCAGCCACCGTCGATCCACCGTTCACCCCCCCACCCCCCCTCCCTCCCTCCCTCCATCCGCCCACCCATCTTGCTCTTCCTCGTCCTCGTTCGCGGCTACCACCACCACCACCACCACCGCGTAGCAACGCACCCGTACAGCCACCATGAGATCCACCCTCGCCCTCCTCGGCTCGCTGCTGGCCGCAGCCACGGCCATGCCCATGGACGCCCTCACCGACCCCTTCGTCGCCCTCGCAGCGCGCTCCAACCACTCGAGCCAGTACCCCTCGTCGCTCGACGCGCTACGCGGCGGCAAGACGTCCTGCGCAACCTCGAACGGCAAATCCGCCGCCTCCTTCAACCCGCCCCTCTACACCGAGGCCCACCGCCCGCAGTTCCACTTTTCCCCCACCGACAACTTTATGGTGAGTGCGCATGATGGCCTCGCCTCGCCTCGCCCCGTTCTGCCCTGCCCTGCCCTGCCCTGATCGCCTGCTCACATCCAATCCGTCCTCCCCCGCTCTGCCTGTCCGCTCTGTTTACCTCGCACCGCCCCGCAGAACGACCCCAACGGCCTGGTCTACTCGCAGGGCCTGTGGCACCTCTTCTACCAGTACAACCCCACCCAGCTCGTCGCGGGCAACCAGCACTGGGGCCACGCCGTCTCGACCGACCTGTACCACTGGCAGAACCTGCCCATCGCCATCGCCCCGGAGCGCGAGGGCGACGGCATCTTTTCCGGCTCGGCCGTCCTCGACGTCAACAACACCAGCGGCCTCTTTGAGGACTCGACGCCCGCCGACTCGCGCTTCGTCGCCGTCTACACGCTCAACACGCCCACCGAGCAGACCCAGCACCTGGCCTACTCGTCCGACGGCATCCACTTTACCAAGCTCAACCAGACGCTCCTCACCATCAACTCGACCCAGTTCCGCGACCCCAAGGTGTTTTGGGACGAGGGCCAGTCGCAGTGGGTCATGACCGTCGCCCACCCGCAGGAGTACGCCGTGACCTTTTACTCGTCGCCCAACCTCAAGGACTGGCAGGAGCTCAGCCGCTTCCGCATGACGGGCCTGCCCGGGTACCAGTACGAGTGCCCAGACCTGGTGCAGATCCCCATCGAGTCGGGCCCCGACGCCGGCAAGCGCCGCTGGGTGCTCGTCAACTCGATCAACCCGGGCAGCCCCATGGGCGGCTCCATTGTCCAGTACTACATCGGCGACTGGGACGGCCGCACCTTCACCGCCGACGACGCCGCCTTCCGGTACGCCGACTTTGGCAAGGACTACTACGCCTTCCAGTCGTGGAGCAACTCGCCCGACGGCAAGGCGTACGGCGTGGCGTGGGCGAGCAACTGGCAGTACACGCAGGTCGTGCCGACGTCGCCCTTCCGCTCGTTCCAGTCGACGCCGCGCGAGCTGACGCTCAAGTACTACCGCCCCAACCCCATGTACGGCGAGTACGTGCTGAGCAGCAAGCCGGCCATGCTCGACAACATCCGCGCCAAGACGCTCTACAAGCTCGACGCCGACAAGCACCACCAGCACGCCGCCCGCGCCAACCACACCGTGGCCCTCCGGGGCGACGGCGGCTTCGAGATCGACGCCACGTTTGTGCTGCCCAACGACGTCAACGCGACGTACAACACCATCGGCTCGTTTGAGATCCTCTCGTCGAGCGGCAAGCAGAGCATCACGGCGGGCATCCAGATGGGCGAGCCCACCGTGGCCTTCATCGACCGCTCCAACGCCGGGCGCAGGTGGGCCAGGACCAACCCCTTCTTCACCGACAAGAGCTCGGGCATCGTGCGGTACCAGTCCGAGTACGCGCCGGACCAGTACATCCTCGGACCGCTGCCGCCCTCTGCGACGGCGGCCGAGGCGGCGGCGGCCAAGGAGGCCGGGCAGCAGACGATCTCGCTCAAGGTGCTCGTCGACCGCTCGGTGCTCGAGGCGTTCGCCAACGACGGCCAGCTGAGCGGGACGAGCGTGTTTTTCTTTGACAACGACGAGAAGCCCGCCACGGTGCGCGTCAGCATCGGCGACGACAAGCTGCGGCTCGGCAGCCTCGTCGTCCGCCAGCTCAAGAGCACCTGGCCAACGTGCCCGTGAGGGGGCCGAGCAGGCGGCCAGGCGGGACACGCAGTCGCGGAAGCCGCCGCAGACGCATCGCCAGGCCATTCCACCGGATCGCATCGAAAGCCTCGGGTGGTCTTACGTACCTACATGTTCGTACCGTCCGTTTCGTACTGTACGGAAGCGCAGCAGAAGTGGAAATCCAGCCCTGATGTCATGGAACGCCGTCGATGGTATTGTGGCGAGGGGCGGAGGACCGATGGGGTGTTGTGAGGATGGCTGCTCGTTTCGGCTCCGGTCGTCGCTGGTCGTCGGCGTCCTCGTCTCCTCCGTCTCTCGTACGGCTTAATGGTGATGAAAGAGTCCGCGGTACCGCCTCGGAAGGATGGGTGGGTCAGGCCAGGCCAGGTCAGGTCAGGCCCAGGAGAACCGGCCGAGGCCGCAACCGCAACCGCAACCGCGACCGCAACCGCGACCGCAACCGCGGCTGTGGCGTGACGGTCCGCTCTGCTCTGCACGGCCCCTTTCTCCGTTTACCTCTCTGTGTGACGGTCGGTCCTCGACGATGGCATGGCATGGCATGGTACGGGCCCCTTTGGACGAGCGTGGCCTGGTCTAACCTGGCATGCCGAGATTCCAAACACCGCCACCGCCTGCGTCCATCCATCTACGCCCGCACGCCCGCACGCCCGCACGCACGCACGCAGTCTCAGGTCTTACTCTCAGGCTCGATGCGTTGGACAGGGGGGCGAAGCGTATCGCTGTGCCGCATTGCGACGAGGCTAGAGTTCACGTGGACCCAAGGGGAGGGTGGTGATGATGTGGTAAGAGAAGAGTCGTGGAGGATCGTCGCTACCCCTCCCGGGCCGTATGTACACTACCTACTGTGGGGCAGGTGAGATCAAAAGGAGAGGCAGAGAGGCAACGAGCACGACGACGACGGACGGCATGTGACGGCATCGTCTGGCCCCGCCTTCGCTTCGCTTCCCCCTTCCCCGCGCCCCCGTCCGTCTTCCCCGCATTTTTCTCTTCCTCTGGCGGGGTAGGACGAAACGGTACAGCGGCGAAGGGGAGGGGTCGGGTTTTCAGCTGCATCTTGGACTCCACATGAGGCTGTTCGTTACCGAGAAAGAGAGGAGGGGAGGGGAGGGGAAGGCGGGGGGGGGGGCGGATATCGTCACCACCTCTCGCCCCTCTTTCCGACGGGCACCGCAAATCGCCCATGGACCGACCGTCTTCCTACAGTATGGCTGGCGGCATGACTTTCTATCTCGTTCTGTACCCGTGCTGTCCTGCGCTGCGCTGCCGCTGTGCCGTGACCGCCAGGACCGAGTCTCATTGAACAAGAGGGCACAGGGGGTGAAAGCAGGAGGCTCGAGTGCAAGGCGTTGTGAATACGGTCGCGGCGCAAAGACGGCGGGCGAGTCCAACAAGATCGGAAAGAATGGCTGTAGCGCCAGCGTCAGCGCCAGCGGCGGTGCCAGCGGCGGTGCCAGCGGCGGTGCCAGCGGCGGTGGCGCGGGCCAATGCCCGAGGGGATCTGGTGGCGTACGAGCCGGACCATGGCGAAGCTCGGACCGCCTCGACGTACGTGCAGACTGTATGTACGTGGCCAGGCCAGGCCGGGCCAGGCCAGGCAAGGCCGGGTCTCTAACATAGTGGACACCGTAATGCAAGGCGCAGCAGCCCAAACAAGCCGTGGTACGTTGTGTTTGTATGTAAACAAGGGGATGCAGTCTAGGTGTCTGTGCTGTGCGGCCGCATCCTTCTTTGGCTTCCGTCGTTATTGACTGTACCATGGAGGGACGTGCGAGTGACAGGGGCAAGGAGGGAGAACAGGCGGAGACCGAGGAGGAAGACGAAAGACGACGACGACGACGACGACGACGACGACAAAGAGGAGGGCAGAGGAAGCAAGGCCAAGGACGGGGGCGGGAGACGACGGCGGCTGCTGAACCGCTGTCCCCCCAGCCGCGCGCCCGCAACCAGGCCAAGGATGCGGTCGGTGCCCAGCCACCTTGCTTCGCGCCCAGATGACCGGCCAGACCAGGCCAGGCAGGCCAGGCCAAGCCAATCCGATCCGATGCCTCCAAAGAGGGAGCCCAATTGGCACGCCTAGAGGCTAGGACGTACGGCCGGGCTAGGCGGCTGGGCGGCTACCGTAGGAAGAGCGTAGGCGGGTAGTGTATCCAGGCGAGACCTCGCTTCCAATCCTCCTCGCTCGCACGGCTCGACTGCGTACGCCCTCAGCCAACTACTACCTGGCTGGATGGACGATGATGCCAGACCTTTGCATCGCAAGCAAGCCTTGCCAGACCAGACCAGGCCCAGGCGGGCCACCGAAAGGGGCGAGGCGGGGCCGGCATGGAGCGCGCGACGGCCAAGCCAGCAGGCCAGGCCCAGCAGCCAGGAGGACGAGCGGAGATTGACCACCCAGCTCGCCTCCTCGATCCTCGTCCCGGTCAGAGTGTGGAGAATGAGCGCGGGCCATCATGGCCCCCCGCACTCTGGCCTTCCGTTGACGGTACACATCTGCGGTAACGACGTCGTGTGGACAGAGGGCGATACCTCGCCTCGCCTCGTCTCGACTCGTCTCGGTCTGGTTCCGAATCGATTCGGCTTGATTCCGTCCTTTCTGGGCTTCAAGGCTGGCTTCCAAGGCAGAGCCAGCTAGAGGGAGAGAGTGAGAGGAGAGACGGGGCGGACGAGAGCGAGAGAGAAAGAGCGCGCGCAGATGGCCTGGCCGCTCGGGGCCACGACGCACGATCCTCTATCCGACGTCGATGCTGCTGCCTTGCACTCCAGTCCCCGCACCTCGGTACGGCGGGCTACAGGTAGCAGCCCTGGCCACGCCGCGGTTCCCATGGCGCCCAGACCGACGCCGGGTGTCCATCGGATGTGATATAAAGCCCTCGGCCTGCCTGCCGCTTGCATGCGCTCTGATTCCCTCCCGAAGCCATCTCAGCCATATACCTCTTCCTATCTCTCTCTCTCTCTCTGCCATCGTCTCCCCTGAACGACACAACTGCCAACACCCAGTCGGCCACCCCTCTCGATTCGACACGCAGCGCGAGCAACCATCTAATCTGTATCACTAGCCACCAGTACGACTGCCTCTCTTTCGCCTCGCCGCTGTCGACCAGCACCGTCCAGCCACATACGACAGACAACCGCAACCACATCCGCACGTCGCTCCCCGACTGAATCTGTATCGCCACCATGGTCACTGAAATCCCGCAAAAGGACATCGAGATCCAGGAGGGCTACGTCGGTGAGTAACTGCAGCAGCAGCAGACAGCGGCCACGACGGCTGGCAGCCCGTTTGTCCCGCAACTCATCATCCGTGCCCTCTCATCCCGCGCTCCCCTGTCCGTTGCCACCTCGACGACCCCTACCGCCTGTCTACCTGACCCCCCCCCCCCTCCCCCGGCTCTGCAGGCAACCTCACGCAGGAGCAGGAGGTCAAGCTGCGCGAGCTGTGGACCAAGTTCTTTGAGACGTGCGACCAGGCCGCCGACAAGGGCGACCCCGAGGCCGCAGCCCGGCGCAAGGCCGCCGGAGGCGACCTCGGTGGATGGGACGAGAAGAAGAGCGGACCCGAGGGTGCCGGCATCCCAAAGGACGACGCGGCCAAGGACGAGCTCAAGGCCCGAGAGGAGCAGGCCGCCCTCGACGAGCTCCTCAACCAGTACGGAGGAGCGGCGCTGCGCGACACGTTCTGGAAGTTTGTAAAGGCCGACAACCCGGACACGGACGTGCTGCGCTTCCTCCGCGCCAGAAAGGTGGGCCGACGTCGGGGGCTGGAACGGGCACGACGACCGGCGGAACAATCGACTGACATCTCGCCCCCCTCCCTGCCTTGCTCCTCACTACGACCACGCCGACCGACAGTGGGACGTGTCGCGCGCGTTTGCCATGATGGCCGGCTGCATGAAGTGGCGGCTGGACAACGACGTCGAGTCGCTCGTGGAAAACGGCGACCTGGGCAACGCATCGATTGAAAAGTTCCTCGACCAGCAGCGCTCGGGCAAGACGTACGCGCTGGGCACCACGGACAACGAGCAGCCCATCTGCTACATCCACGTCAAGAAGCACCTCACCTGGGGCCAGCCGGGCGCCTCGATGAGCAAGTACGTCATCTACGCCATGGAGTCGTTCCGCCTGCTCATGGTGCCCCCCAACGACAAGGTCGTGCTCCTGTTTGACCTCACCGGGTTCGGCCTGAGGAACATGGACTGGAACTGCATCCTCTTCATCGTCAAGTGCCTCGAGGCGTACTACCCCGAGTCGCTCGGGACGCTCTACATCCACAATGCGCCGTGGATCTTTAGCGGCATCTGGAAGCTGCTCGGCCCGATGCTCGACCCGGCGGTGCGGAGCAAGGTCAAGTTCACCAAGAAGCCCGCCGACATTGAGCTGGTGCCCAAGGAGCGCCTCGCGGCCATCATGGGCGGCGACAATGTCAAGGAGTTTGAGTTTGTCGAGCCGGTCGAGGGCGAGAATGCCAAGGTGCACGACCAGGAGGGGCGCAAGCGCGTCGAGGACGCCTACATGGCGCACGCCAAGGAGTACGAGGACGTGACGCGCAAGTGGATCCAGACCCAGGGCCAGGACAACGACGTCGTCCGCCAGCGCGACCTGCTCGTCAAGAAGCTGCGCCTGGCCTACTTTGAGATGGATCCGTACGTGCGCGGCCTCACCGTCTACCACCGCAACGGCGTCCTCGACGGCCAGGGCATCGTCACGTGGGAGTACGAGCACAAGGACGGCGAGCTCTTCCGCCACATTGTGGGCAAAAAGTACTGCGCCGAGGCGCTCCGCATGCAGATCAAGGACATCGAGGGCGGCGCCGACCCGGTCGAGGCAGAGGAAAAGGCCGAAAAGCAGGTCTCGCCCGCCAACGCCGCCGG